TCTTTGACTCATGTTTTTATATCTATATAGACACATATTTACAGTTTTATATTGTACTTTATATCTAAATAGGCATCAATGTATTTGATATTGTACTTATTTTATCTCTTTCTCAAAGATAATTTAAGTGGAATGATAAAAACTTTGGAGATAAATTTTTTTCCAGCATTCTAACCCAGAAGACTGCCATTCAGTCAATGGACATTTACTGAACATCTATTATGTACCAGACATTGTGCTAGATGCTGGACATAGAGATGGGGGACGAAGTGTTCCTAGCGGGACAGGAGGGGTGTATGCTCAGTCTGAACTTGGTGGGAGAGTTTCAGAAGAAGCTGCCTAGGAGAGCGGACTCCTTATCTGAGTCTTGAAGTGTTAGTTAGCTGGACAAAGTGAAGTGGGCTTAGGCCAGACATCGAGGGAGAGAGAATAGCATGGCGTGGAAGCGGGGAAAACTCGGCACATTTGAGGAATTCCAGGTGGCCAGAGCCTGGGTGTCAGGGGAGATGGCTGAAAGGTAAGGCTAAAATTTGTAGGGGCAAGTCATGATTATCCCAGCATGCCATTCTAAGAAGACTGAAAATGACACAAAATAGTAATTATAGTTATTCTTATTTCCTATTTATTGAGCACTTGCTGTGTGCCAGGCACTGTGCTAGGCACTCAACATATCAATTTATTCCCCACAAGAGCCCTACGAGGTAGGTTCTGCTTTAAATGGATAAAGTATACTCCATTGGGAAAAGGAGTCCACAAAGAGACTAGAACCAAAAGGGAAGTAGGAGGAAAACAGAATAGCCTGGCCTTATAGACGTCAAGAGGGATAAGGACTAAACAACTAGCGGCAAGTGGTGATCTTGTCAGTGGAGTTAGGGGACAGAAGACCGCTGTAGGGCAGGGTGCGGATGCAATACATGAATGGGGATAGTGATCGCCAACTGCTCTTTTACGAAGACTATTTACTTTTTCCTTTTTTTTTTTTTTTTTTTAACCACAAGGCGCAGCATGTGGGATCTTAGTTCCCCGACCAAGGATTAAACCCGTGCCCCCCGCAAGGGCAGCATGGAGCCCTAACCACTGGACCACCAGGGAAGCCCCTAAGAAGACTATTTAAGGAGGAGAGGGCTAGCCATAGGTAGAGGGAGTCAGAGGATTCTGTTTTGGGTTGGTTGGTTGGTTTTAAAATGAGACAGACTTGAACACATTTTTGTGCTGAGATGTCAGGATGAGCAGAGGGCGAGATGTGAATGGCCCATGAGTGAGGGATCACTGACGAAACAAGGTCACTGTGCAGTCAGCAGGAGATGGGGGGAAGGCCTGGCCTTGCCTGGGAGCCCAGAGGAGGACATTAAAGATGGATGTGGATGCCAAGAGGGTGAGCTGCGAGTTTCAGCTCATGAACCTGTTTTCTCCACGAGTAGGAACCCAGATTCTCTGAGAACAAGGGGTGTCCCTGAATACTTGACTTATGATATGTGTCTTTCTATAATACATTTATTCAACGAGTGCCATAAGCAGATCTCTCCTGCTGCTGCTCAAGTGGGGAGCTCGATTCAGGGGGATAATTGTGTGCCGTGAACCCTGAGTGCTCTCTGACTTACAGTCTGTAGTTCTATTCTCAAGGGACTCCGTGGACTGGGCCAGCTGCCTTGAATTGAATTCACTCATCTTTGCAGCTGTCTCCTCTTCATAAAGGCAGACACACTCTGTTTCTTTGTGGAGAGCAGCCCTAAAAGGAAAGGCCACTAAAAGCAACGACTGGTGTTAGACCTGCAGAAAGTGTGAGGCCATAAAGGGCCAGAAAATAATGGCTGGGGTAACGTGGATGGGGTGAAATGTAGAACTGGGTGATAGTTGGTATCTGTGGTAAAAAGGAAAGAGGAATTAAACTGTTTCAGCAAGTTGTCTAGTTAGTGCAAACATTGCTTATGGAGTAAGAAATAAAGCTCTAGTGTAATTTGGAAGGTGATCACTTTCGGCACGGGGACATGTCCAGGAAACACGTAGAAGAAAGTCAGAAGCCTGCACAAATGTTTCCTTATTGTGCAGGGGACACACTGGGGGCAGACAGGTCTCACACAGGAAAGGGGACTTCTGTAAACCTTATTTTGTTGTTTGTTGGAAAATATAGTTATTTTCTTTAGTGATAGCGTTCAGTGTTTTTAAATTTGCTTCTTAGCGTGGGTGTCTGTATATTTTCCTTCAGTTGGAGGGTTGTATGAGGAGGGGAGGTTTCATTTGAAATTAGTGACGAAGTTGCTAAATGTTTTTACTATCAATCAGTCCAGTGCTTGATACAAACATCTCTTAGACACACACAAACACACACACACACAGCCAGGCACATGCCAGCTATGTGTCCTTCCTTCTCCCCTACTGCCTGTTCCCAAGTCAGAAAGTAGAAAAACAAGGAGGAAACCTGGAAATCGCCTGAAGGGACTCACGGTGCTCTAGGGTGTGGTGCTCAGCGAGGCCCACAGCTGCTTCCGAGAAAGCCCAACATGGAAATCGATGCCCTTGCCATGTGTACACACCCGTTGTCTCCCCTGCACTCCAACTGCTGTCCCATGTCCGGTCCTTTTTCTCATCTCTCAACCCATCTTGGTTACCAGAATTTTGGGGATAGTTCTGAGATCTGATACCTCAGATAACGGCAATGTGTGGAGATCCTCCCTCCCTCTCTCTCCTTCTTTCCTTCTCTTCTTTCTTTCTTTCTGCCTTTCCTTTCCTTTATTTCCTTCCTTCCTTTCTTTCTTTCCTTCTTTTTTTCTCCCTCCCTCCCCCCTTCTTCCCTCCTTTCTTTCTTTCTTCCTTCCTTCCTTCCTTTCTTTGTTTCCTTCCTTCCTTCCTTCTTTCTTTCTCTCTCCCTAGCTTTTATTTTACTGTGATATACAATGCATTTACTGGAGTAAATAAAACATTTGTATACAGCTTAGCACTTTTTTATTATAACATATAGGCAACTGCCACCAAGTAAAGAAAAGGGATACTCCTGGCCCCTCAGAAGCCCCTCTCATGTCCTCACCCAATCACAACCCTCAGTATCCTACCTCCCCACTCCCTCCCTCACACACAAGTAATTACTTTTTTAAAAAAATTTTATTTTATATTGGAGTATATTTGACTCACAATGTTGTGGTAGTTTCAGGTGTACAGCAAAGTGATTCAGTTATGCATACACATATATCTATTCTTTTTCAGATTCTTTTCCCATATAGGTTATTACAGAGTATTGAGTAGAGTTCCCTGTGCTATACAGTATCAATAGGTCCTTGTAAGTTATCTGTTTTATATACAGTAGTGTATATATGTTAATCTCAACTTCCTAAGTAATTATTATCTTGACTTAATGGGACTTACTTCCTTGCTTGTCTTTTTGTGTTGTCACTTAAGTATATTTCCATAAACAATAGAGTTTAACTTTGCTTGTTTTGGAACTTTTTCTTTCAAAGTCTTTGATCCTGATTCTTTCTTTCAATATTATAAAGTTCATCCACATTGTTGCACGTAGCTATGCTCTCCATTGCATGAACAGACAACCACACTTGAACTCCATTCTATTGTGACAGTCATTGGATTGCTTGCAGTGTTGAGCTCTTGTGAACATAGCTGCTTGAACATTCCTGTACATGTAACCTGGACACAATTTAGAAGTTCTCTCAGGGCATGTATCTGGGAGTGGAGCAGCTGAGTCATAATGTGTCCTCATTATTGTTCAATATTACTGGCTACCATGTGAGAATTCCTCTTTCCCACATCCTAGCCAACATTCAGTGTCATCTTTCACCTTTTGGTTTTAAACTTCTGTTCCCAAAATAGATTCTTCTACTAAAATCGACTCCTCCAGGTCTGTGGGTCTCACCTTCTGTTTCCCACATGGCTTATAACAGAAGATATGCACACGCGCGGCCCCCTGCTGTGAGCACACCCAATCAGAAGGTTATGAACAATTCCCAAGTGAGAAAGCCAAAACCTCAGATGTATTCTGGTTGATGAATCACTTGGGGCTGTGGCACTTGATTATTTAAAAGCAAAACAAAACTGTGACACACCTCTAAAGTGATCATGTCCCACGTGTGTGTCCTGACACTCTGGTTGAGAACCACTGTCCTTGCTGGCTGATATTCTATTATTTCAGTAGCCTTGAGCTTGAACATACTGACTACCTCTTCAGTGCAAAACCATGACCAGCCAGCGTCTTTCTCTACCACAGCTTGTCCCTCACAAATACCACCAAGGGGACAAAGAGAACAATGGTTAAAATGTCCCAATAATGAACCCTCTTACACTGTTGGTGGGAATGTAAATTGATACAGCCACTATGGAGACCAGTATGGAGGTTCCTTAAAAAACTAAAAAAAGAGCTACTGTATGACCCAGTAATCCCACTCCTGGGCATATATCCGGAGAAAAACATGGTGCAAAAGGATACATGCACCCCAATGTTCATTGCAGCACTGTTTACACTGCAGCACTGTTTACAATAGCCAAGACATGGAAGCAACCTAAATGTCCATCGACAGAGGAATGGATAAAGAAGATGTGGTACATATATACAATGGAATATTACTCAGCCATAAAAAAGAATGAAATGCCATTTGCAGAAACATGGATGGACCTAGAGATTGTCATACTAAGTGAAGTCAGTCAGACAGAGAAAGAGAAATACCATATGATATTGCTCACATGTGGAATCTTTACAAAATGATACAAATGAACTTATTTACAAAACAGAAACCGACTCACAGACTTAGAGAACGAACTTATGGTTACCAGGGGGGAAGGGTGAGGGGAAGGGTTAGATTGGGAGTTTGGGACTGACATGTACACACTGCTATATGTAAAATACGTAACCAACAGTCCAACAAGGACCTACTGTATAGCACAAGGAACTAAACTCAATACTCTGTAGTAACCTAAATGGGAAAAGAATTTGAAAAAGAATAGATACATGTATATGTAAAAAAAAAAATTGTAAGATTAAAAAATCATTCCCAGTAATGGCACAGACTCCAGGGCTTGCGCTCTGGGATGTGATACTCAAGGGACATGTTCTCTCTGGTGCCCCCCTAGGGTTGGACCAGCTGACCTGGACTTGGCCAGCAGCCCTGTCCTCCATCGCAGTCACCCCACCATCCTGGCTGACCAAGACAATGTTCCCTTCAAGGTGAGCAAGTGGATGGAGCTTGCCTGCTTCCACGCACCGGTGGTCTCCTCACCCAGCATTCGCCAGAAGAAACTAATCCACAAGCTGCAGGAGGAAAAGGTGTTTCGGGAAGAGACGAGACACTTCCGTGAGAAGACAGAAGGCTTCAGGGAAGAGATGCGGAATTTCCGTGGCAAGATCTGCGCTTTCAGGGGCCAGATCTTGGGCATTTGGGAAGAGGAGAGACCTTTCTGGGAAGAGGAGAAAACCTTCTGGAAAGAGGAAAAAGCCTTCTGGGAAATGGAAAAATCTTTCTGGGAAGAAGAGAAAGCCTTTTGGAAAAAGTACCGAATCTTCTGGAAGGAAGATAAGGCTTTCTGGAAGGAGGACAATGCCTTGTGGGAAAGAGACAGGAACCTCCTTCAGGAGGACAAGGCCCTGTGGGGGGAAGAAAAGGCCCTGTGGGAGGAGGAAAGCGCCCTTCTGGAGGAGGAGAAGGCCCTCTGGGTGGAAGGGGGTGCTCAGGCTGTGGAGAAGCAGAGGCTGGCAGGGGGGCACCGCAACGTCATGAGCACAGGAGACGAAGGGCTGGGGGGTCCACACTGCTGGATTGGGACTCGAGTCCGGGGTGACCCCATGTGCTGAAGAAAATATGCTCTTATTTGTCTCCTGACTTCAAAAGATCTAATAAAGTTCTGAGGAGAGGTCTGGAAAACCAACTTCTGTAAGGAGCCCAGCTGCATTTTTTCAGGTTTTGTGATTCTCAGAGGTCGTACTCCCATCCTCCAGGCTGCACTGATGTCCACAGAGCTTGGTTCCGTGAGCAGCTCCCCGTGAGCGCGTCATGTGTGGGTGGGTTTAAGTGGAGACCCTGGACTCTCCTGAGAAGAGTCAGAACGGGGATGGGGGTGAGGGCAATGCCAGCAAGAGACATGTAGGGACAGGGGGCGGAAATATCTCTGCCTCTGTGGAGCTGTGGGGCAGTCATTTCTCCTCTACTCTGGGCAGTCTTGGAGGCTGGGAGCAGGCTGACAGCTTCCCAGAAAAGGCTGCAGCACTGTTAACAATTCATCTGTGGTTTGTCCTCGCCTGGCAGGCCATTTAGAACACAGAGGCAGCATTCCCCCCAACTCACTCACTCACGGATCCAGGTTTCCACCAAACTTCTCAACTGCCCATTCTCCATAGCGTGAGAAATGGGCGTGCCATTAGGCTAAGGCTCTAGAGCTCCGCCCACAAGAGCACTGCCCTTCCCTGATGGAGTCCTGTGGACCAGGCAGGGCCATCTGGGAGGTGTCAGGGAGACCTCCCTGCCCCAATACTCCCATTCACGCAGGTCTCACATACCTGTACTTCTGCATTATCAATTCCCTCCTTTGTGTTTCCCTCATTCCATTCACTTAAAATTAAAATGCCCCAGGGAGGTAGTACATTAAATGAATGTACACTAATGTGGTCAGCAATTTACATGCCTAACTTCTCCTCTGGGATTAGACCATCCATATGGGCATTGGTATGGAAGGGACCAGAATGTGGGCAGAAAGAAATGTCAAGGCCAACATCGCCTGCTTCCCCTTTTCTTGGGCCTGGCCCTCACTGTCATTCACGTAGCAACTTACTTTGCCTTTGTGCATCCCTTACTATTTGATAAGCACGTTCACATCTGCCAACTCATGTAAGCTTCACCACAACTCTGTGGGTTGACAGGGAAGGTACATAAACCCATTGTACAGGTGAGGAAACAGAGACCTGGAAAAGCAGAGGGACTGCACATGGCCAGGCAAGTAGCAAATGGAAGGTCCAGGACCAGAGCTCACATCGTCTGCCCATTGGTCCCACTCCTTTTCTAACACAGCCGGGTCACGGGATGTGGCTTTAGAGTAGCTCAGCCAATGACGGCATCAGGGCTGGATGAGCCTAAAGCGCTTGGGGATTTCACTGTGGTTTGGGGTGGTGGTCGAGAAACAGGGAAAGGAGGGGACAGGGTCCGCCTAGGTGTGCTGAGCAGATGTCCAGGTACAGGAGAGTGGGCCAACTCCGAGAGCAGTCTCCATGGCTCCGTGTCACTCTGAGAAAGCTGGTGTTCCGTGCAAGGCCTTTGATCCTCAGGAGTCAGGGCCAGGGCGCTGGGAGCCGCTTTCTCCTTTGCCACAAACCGAGTTTTGCATCCTCAGCTCCCAGCAGGCCCCTGAGCATAGACGTCAGAAGCGGAGGGAATAAGATGCTGGTGTAGAGAATCAGATTTCAAGGGGAGACAGCTAGGGGCCCTCATGCAAGGAGACCTGTCCAGTGGATGGTGTGCAGGATGGTGGGAACCCCAGTGCAGCAAGAGCTGCAGATTCAGCAATTCCAGTGGTTCTGCCCCAAACAAAAGCAAACAGATTGTTGACCTTAAGCCCAAAGAAATGTAAACCAGGTGGAGGCAGGAACTGGGAATGTGCATTTCCCTCCCCCAACAGCATCCCACAGAAACCACTGGGAGAGACAGCTGTCATTTGAAGGACTGGAGGAGGACAGGTGGGTTCCTCTGTGAGTCCACCCTTCTTCCAGCCAACTGATATACATGTCCACTGTTCCAGCTCTGTCCTCTTAGGTCTCAGTGGTGAACACACCAGTGCATCCCAGCGTGACGTGCCTAGCTCATCTTTGGGACTTGTGACATAGTTTTAACATCTAATTCAGAACCAGAAGAACAAAGGGTCATGTATAACTGATTACTGCTAATAGTCATATAAGTAGCATGAACTGGTGAAACGGACTTAGCTTAGGGTCCGACAGGGATGAAATGGACTTAGCTTATGGCTCTGACAGGAGCCAGTGTTACCTCCGTCATTTACCAGAATATGACTGTATGAGTTTCCTAGGGCTGCCCTCACAAATTACCACAAACAACCAAAATGTATTCCCTCGTAGCTGTGGATCACGCTGTTGGTGGTGCTGGGTCTCTCCGGGGTCTCTGAGGGAGAACCCATCCCATGCCACTGTCCCAGCTTCCACTGGCTACCTGCAGTTGCCGGTGACTTGGAGGTCGGCTACCACTAGGGTGGTGGGGACACGGTGCTCCCTGACTCTGTTTCTCTAGAGAACCCTGACTGATAGAGCACTACCCGGGGGGCCCCAGGACAGCCGACCTCTAGAGCCTTGCTGTCGGTCACCATGTGATACCCACCACAATCAAACCTCTGGAACAATTTCATGTCTCACTTTTATCCAGAAGTAGAGGGCCAAGGAGGGAAGGACTGACCAATCCTCTAACAACAGGTGGTCTACCAGGAAGCCCTATTTCCTCATTAGCAAACCCAGGGCTCTCTACTCTGTTGCCACTGGCTGTTTGGCCAGCTCCTCACTCTTTGAATTTCTCAGGCATGACTCAGACCACCATGTTACCCAAACTTTAGGTGCCATATTTTAAGCCTCTCAGTGATCTCCTTAAAGCCCTTCTCTGTCTTGACTTGGGGTAAGATGTAGCCCAGAAGAAGCAGGGATGAAAAGAGAAGAGGAAGGGATTTCCAGTTAAAGATCACATACAAATGCATTCACCAGCTTCTACTCCCTCCCAAAATCCCAGTAAAACACGGTAAAGAGATTGTTAAAAAGACGGAAATCCACAAGAACAAAGAATAGGAGAGAAGCCAGTAGCAACCAACATTTTGAAAGCAGAAAAGCAGATGGATGAATGGAGCTGACTTAGCAGAAACACAGCTGAATTTTCAACTGGCGGGGGGCGGGGGGTGAGACAAGGACCAGCCCAATTTACACTGCAGAGCCACCTTCCTCCAGAAAGACATAGGAATTAGCAGGTCAAATACTTCCTGAGGCATAGGTAAAGGTGGAGCTAATAACGGGAAGACCAGATGAAAGTCTTTTTAAGAAGCAAACTCCTAGGTCCTCTCCCCAACTCAGTAGAGCCGGAGGCTGTTGCTCCTCCGTTATGTAGGAGGTTGGAGATTTACTCTTTGAAGAGGACAAAACTCAGGGTCTTAGAACTAGAGATATCAGGTCTAGCTGAAGATGGTGATACCTTGCTAAAAATGGCTGAAGAGTGAAGATGTACCTGAAAAGAGCTGAGACACCCCACCCACCCCTAGTGGTCGCCAACCTCTAAGGTGGCTCCCAGTGGATCTGCCCTCCTGGTATGCATGCCCTGGGGCAGTCGCCTCCCACACTGAAAAGGGCTGATCTGTGTAACCAATGGGGTATTGTGGACAATGACAGAGTATGACTGCTGAGACGAGGTCATAAAAGACATTACAGCTCTGCCTTGCTCTCTCTTAAATCACTCACTCTAGGTAAGGCTGCTGTCATGTCATGAGGACACATGGGGAGGAAATGAGGCCTCCTGCAGACAACCAGCAACTTGCCAGGAAGGTAAGTGAGCCACTTTGGAAGCAGAACCTCCGGACCCAGGTAGATGACTTTGGACCCAGCCCATATCTCACTGTGACCTCATGAGAGACCTGGGCCAGAACCATCCAGTTAAGCTGTCCTGGAATTTCTAACCCACAGAAACTTTGAGATGATAAAATTTTTGTACCCAAGGTTTTGGAGTAGTCTGTTATGCAGTAACAGATTAATCTCTCTCTCTCTCTCTCTCTCTCTCTCTCTCTCTCTCTCACACACACACACACACACACGCACACCATTTTTTCTCCACTCAGTTCCCAAAATGCTGGCAGCCAAGCCAGCATTCTGGGAGGGAGACGCAAGAGGGAGGGGATATGGGGATATATGTATACGTATAACTGGTTCACTTTGTTGTACAGCAGAAACTAACGCACCATTGTAACGCAATTATACTCCAATAAAGATGTGAAAAAAAAAGATGAAATTGGTGGAATACTTAAAGTGACTGAAGGGATTGAGAGGATATTAACACTGCTGGGGGAGAGTCTGAGGGTAAATAACTAACTGTTGAGTAGGGAGAAAACTGAGCAACTGGAAGAAAGCAATAGTTGTACAGTAACGTGAAACAAAGACGTGTGCAGAAAAGGGAAAACAGCAGTAGAATGCTGCTCGCTCGGCCGTGAAGAGCATTCACATAGTTAGGTAAATGTAAATACTGACTGTGATCTATCCAAAATTACAATACACAATATTAGAATAAGAGGGGGGATGGGAAACCTGCCTTTTTTTCTTATCATGAGAAGTCAGTATATAATGCCTAAAATTAAAATGCAAAAAGCAGGTGACACAAGCATATTATTTAGAGCAGTGTTTCTCGCACTTTTGCCTACATCAGCCCCATCCTTTCTCCAGCCACCCAGAATGTCTCTCCTTCCCTGAACTTGACCTCCTTAGTGAATCTGAGCTCTTGCATCTGTCACACCTGTAATCAGAAGGGTTCTCCTTCCCTCATCCTTCACCTTTGCTGATAAGCTCACACTCATCCATCAAGGATCAAGGATCAGCCTCGTATCACTTGCCCTAGGTTGCCTTCCCTGACGCTAGGTGGGGATCCTTCTGTGGTCCCTCTCACACCTGTACCCGCCCTGGTCACTCTGGGCTGTCCCCTCTGGTGTATTTGCCTGAATCCTCCAGAAAACTGTAAAGGTTAAGAGGGCATAGACAATGCATGTCTGAAGGCTTTGTGGCTGCCCTGGGAGCCCTGGATCCCAGGATCCCAACACCTTTGGAATACGCTTCTT